CCGTTTTTGAACGTTCAAATAAACCTATCAAGTAGCGGTTACCTGACAAAGTGGTACAAAAAAAAAAAAAAAAAAAAAAAACTCATTCATTTCCTTTTTTCCCACCCTTCACACATAAAGAGGGCGATTGTGAGAAACATGTTTCGAACAGCCACCTCTGTGTGCACTATCAGGGAACTAAAGGAAGAATCGCGCGACTTGGCTCGGCAAATAGCCATCTCCAATGGCTACGAAATAGTAACCCCACGAGATAAGTTTAGCAGGAGAGCGGCGCGCACACGCGAAACACTTGGCCAAAAGAAAGTCCCGTTTATGTCGCCTTTTATAAGCGATGAAGTAAGCGTAGTTATAAAACGATGCTTAAGAAGGGCAGGTCTAGAGGAATCGGTAGCGATGGTTGAAATACCACCGGCTACTCTACGTCGTCAATTAGTTCGTAACCGCTTGTATGACCGTCTATGTGAAACAACACACTGCGCAATTTGCCCTTACAGCAGGGACGGTGATTCCATGAGTTCAGGTACGATATACCTGATCTCTAGCAATAATTGCGGAGATGAATATATTGGCGAAACGGGCCGACCTTTGTGTATCCGTATAAAAGAACACCTAGATGGCAAACGAAAACTAAGACGAAGTACCCCACTAGGCACGTATAGGATACAAAAGCATAGCGGAGACGATTTTAAAGTAAAAGTCAACATCCTTGCACAGGTGACTAAAACACCAGCGTAGAAACTTTTTGAGGCTTTTTGGATTCATGCCAAAAACCCTACAATGAATAGCAGGGAGGAATACCCAGAGGTCACACGCGACTTGACCTGACGTTCGCATCAATTTCTGATGTGGATGGTGCAGTCATCAACCATATGCGACTATAAACAGCTGTTCTAAAGTTCCTCATTGGAAATCACGTAAAAAGAGGTGGGTTTTTTCGAGAAGCTGCTGATCGTGTAATTACCAGAGAAGAGAGTCTTTCGTCTTTTTGTAAGTGTTATTGAAGCGTTTGGCCTAGCAGATTGTATATCAGTATACCCTTCCAGGCTCTGAAGAAGGCGATTCTGCCGAAACGTCAGCTAGTGTTGTACTGCATTGTGTTTTTTTATGGAAGTAAATGTATGCTGTTTAACAGCCTTTAACATTCTCCCTAGAGTTTTGAGATAGCCGAGCTAGAGCGTTCCCACATAGATTGATAGAGAGTGATTTTTTCTCAGACAAGTCCAGTACTAATTTTCCGACCCCGGAAGGATGAGAGGTTTGGTGATCCAGCGAGATCAAAACAGACAGTTCTTGTGATAATCAGCATCACTACCGCTGTGATATCCACTTCTGTTAGGGGTGAGTACTCAGTGTAAGTATGAAAATACTCATCACCGGTAACAACGTTCTTTACCTGTACCTATAGCTTGTTCAGTAATCGCCTACAGTTTTAACTTGTAACGAGAGCAATAGAGATGACTGTACTTTATCCGAAGAAGTTCAGTGTTGAAATATATTGGTTAGCACGTTTTCTAGTCTGGATGGACAGAAGCAAGGAATTTTTTCAGATAGTTGATATATCGACAAATTTCGACGAGCGGAACCTACCACAGTGAATCAGACATAATAGCTGATTAGCTAAACGTCGTAGGTGAGTTCGTTGTCGGATAGAACTGAAAAAGAACTAGTATCAGTAAGTATGCTTCCTTACTTGGATACTTGGATGGCCCGCCATCACTGGTTGTGCACATCCCTGCGAAATTTCCAATTTTTTTTTGAATTTTGCTGATTTAGCTATTGTGGTTTCCTGGAGTTCCGAGGTCAGCTTGACTGAAGTCTGTCCCAGGTCCTCACCTCCCCAAAATGTCGCTGCTTTTGTGGATTAGAGGGACATTTGCCAACATGCGAGTAGTTTGATACCAGGACGGTAGTGGTTCGTGGTAGTGGTTAACTGTTAGCTAGGCTTCCTGATGGAAACGCCAGACTCCTTCTCAACTAGGGATACCCTGCCAGGTGGACGAAACCCCCCGTTGTACATCGCAGTCCGACACCCAGAAACACCTCCCAGCCACAATGAGGCGGCAAACCGTTGGAAGTTGAGAACAACAGGTCTGCATTTGCAAATATAATGCTCAACAAATAAAACCCTCTGAGTCCGGATCCATGTGCATAATACGTTATGATTCCAATGATCATACAGATAAAAGGATAAAGGATAAAGCTCTTGGCGTTGATTAATCCATGACACCATTCACTTCACTTCATTAAGCATCGTTGGAAGTGATTGAATGCATATCTGGCCTTTGCAATGATTCGAGGTGGCCTACCGGTGTATCGAGCCAGTGCTGCTATCCTCCCAGACAAGTATGGTACTAATTTGCCGACTCCGGAAGGATGGAGGCTTGGTGAGCCACGGCAGCGGGGATAGATCTGTGTTGCAGGGTGCCTCCGAGCACCACGCTACATTCGCCTCAATCATACAGATTAACTAGGTAAAATATAAGCAAGTATTTTTGTTAACGTAAGACTTTCCTTCCCTAAGTGGTCCGATCTTTCCAAACCTTCCAGCTTTTCTCATATCAGTCGTACATGTAGGACAGATCGCTTTAAAAGGCCGCGACGCGACCGTACGCTTAGTGACTCTAGAGCAGTCATGTTAGAAGTTCCTAAACGTTCTTTGAGCTTATTGACTCTAATGGATTTATGTAAAGAGCTTCTAAACCTTCCTTGAGCTTATGGGCTCTAATGCAGCCATGTAAAAAGCTTCTAAATTTTCTTTAAAGTTCACTATGCTCTTCTGCTTGTTTCTTTTGTCGAATAAATTCATGTACATAATTTCCATGGTTTAGCTGTTAGTGTGCTGGAAATCCTATCTTGTGGATCTTCCAAACCATCTAATTCGTTTAATCGTTTAAGTTGTATCTTCTTCACGACAGAAGTTGCTGATAGTTTCTGAGTTCACGTTTTGTATTCTGTAAATGAAACTCCCAGTTTAGAATTCCTGATGAGTATCCAAAGGCTTCTGCTTCAGCTTTCGTCCAGACGTAGTTTCAACCGAAACCTGCTTACATTAGATCTGTTGAGGTTAGTGCTTTCGTGCCATTTTCTTCGGGTTTTTAATTTCTATTTAAGGCCTAAAAGTATAAGGGCATCTATTACTTTTTGGAAATCGCAACCTGCTCCATTATCTTCGGTCGTAAAGGTTGGTCGGTTGTCCGGTCTTTGCCTCAGTGCTTGGTATCTGCCATTTATAAGGTTTGTTGCTAGGTTATAGAAAAATTCTTTACCAATTCTTACTATGGTTGTAGAAATACTTCAGGTTAGTCCAATGCAAGGATGAGACTTGCCTTAGTAAAAGAGCTGATCACTTGAGAGCGGAGTATTCGGTTGACACCAAGTCTTCTCTTGCTCTTTCAGACGTATGGTCCCTTATTAAACCTCATTTTGGCTGGTTCCTGGCTGCTATCATTGTAAGTTCTACGTTTTCACATTTTCCCTTCTACATAGGGTTGTACTATTACTTAAAATCGTATCACTGATGTGTCCTTTGAAAAGTGTTTTTCTGGTCCCTCGGTGTTTCTTCGTACAACCTGTAGTGTTCCAAGTTGAAACAGTTGGCTAGAATATTTCAAAACCAAGTTTCCTGCAACCTCGATACGACTTGTCAATACGTACTTTCTTTGATAAGCTTACATGAGGTTGATAAGTAATCTTTATTTTCGGCTAACGTTCCGACGTCTTCGTCTTCATCAGAGCTGATGATTAGAGTCGATGGTCCACAGTCGTTCGTCTTCTTGACCACCGATCCTTTTTGATTATACGGGGCGATTGTTATCCATAGCGCTTATTGTCCGGCGGTAAGCACGTTTTTTTTCGGACAATCCATCCTGTAGAAGTCGGTATCATTATCAACTAGCACAAAGCGTAATAATGTTTCAAGACTGGGATTGGACCATTGACTGGGATCATCAAGTCTGATGTTGACAGAGATGTCGAAAACGTTAGCCGGTAATAAAAATTGTTCATCAGTGTTTATCAGTACCTGTATAGGGAAAGAAAATGCCGTCTGAGGTGACCTGCTTCTATGTGCCGGCGATGGTCGAACGCTTCTTTTGTCTTGTTGCCACATCGCTGTTAATCTATCCATCAAGCAAGCGCCGTCGATTCGATTCATAAAACATAGTACAGATGAATGAATGCATATCTTCGCAATGCGGTGACTTTGGTAGCCTACTAATGTATCAAGTCATTGCTGCTATTTTCTGGGACACGACTGGTATAAATTCGCCGCCTCTGAAGGCGGCCGAAGGCTTGGTGAGCCACAATCACGGTTCGGACTGGCGATCGATCCAGTTTGTATTGTAAGGCACCGCTAAATCATTGCGCTGCGCGCCCTGCAGTAGAGTTGGCCTTTTGAATATCGTAGTCTGCCATTTGTTAAAACCCAATAATGTGTGGTGTTGCTAGAATCTGTTTAAGCAGTTTGTTGCCAGAGTTCTCAGCGTGCTTTGGGCTAACTGTTAAAGAATTTTTCCTAATTGAACAATTTTATTACATTTTTAAACATAGGTTTTTATGTATCTCCTTCAGACCCACAGCAGCTCATCGAAATTTTGAGTAGCTAAGAGGTGACATGCTTGAAAGTACCTTCTCTCATTTAGGAACTAACACGAGCTTGTTACCCATAGTTATTCGGCTTATGTTTCGACGTCTTTATCTTTCTCAGAGCCGATGATCAGAGTCGAAGTCCACAATCATTTTTCTTCTTATAAATATTGTAACAATCTCGTGTTAACTAATCAGTGGCACAAAGTAGGTCATTTTTACCGAGGTTAAATGAGGATCCGTTTACAATGATATACTTGAGAGTTTTCTCAAATGAAAGGTTTTGAAGGACTGGATATGTTCTACATTTAAAAGTGTGCTCAATTTTTAATTCAAATGCATCATGTGATTAGATCTCGGGTGTTTTGTTCCTGTATTTCTCATGTGTTGATCACTGAAATAGTGGAAGGATGAATTCACGTGGAAGTGCGGATATTTTCCTGTGAAAGTGGACTTGGAAGCGAGAAAATTTACTCTGACATAGTGGTTATCACAGAACCCTCTGCCAGCGTTACTTCCAACGGGCTAGTAAGCATAGAGATCCTACTTAGGTCCCATGTGATCTCATCCCAGTCTCCCACATTGTACCATTTTTGATTGTTTCTTAGAAAATAATACAGTATACGGGCTTTAAAGTGAAGAACAAACCAAATCAAAATTAACGTAGATGTCATTTCCTGTTTTTTTTTTTGCTATATTGCGTTATTTTCTTGGCATGGTGTTTGCTTTTCTAATGCCATTACTTTTAATGATGACGTTATATCGGTCAGCTACCGCTTCAAACGGGACTGGTTCTTTTTTTTCAAACTGACTTTAGGCTAGTGCTTTAATTCACGGTTCTAGCTGATTTAGCCCTATTAGGCTATGCTCCTATAAATGCCCACACTCTCATTTCGCAGGAAATATCAGGTGTCATATTTGAGCCAAATAAGTTAGCATCTGCTTTACGTTAGTTTTATCTGTACAGTCACTTATTATAATAACCGTAGGAATTACTGTTAGCTCACAGGAAGCTGCATAACATTTCTTGTGTTTTTTAACCTGTTATTGTCAATCCCTCTCAACGGTTTACCGCCTCATTGTGGATGGGAGGTCTTCCCCGGTTTCGAGCTGTTCAGAGTGAGGATTCATCAATTCGGCAGGGTCTACCAAGCTGAGAAGGAGTCCATTGATCCTGTCAGGAAGCCCAGCTAAGAATAGTAAATCAATACGAGGATACACCACCCTCCTGTTGTCGAACTAGTCGTATGGTGGCAAATCTCCCTCTGATCCACAAGGGCGGTGATTGCCTGTGTTGGTGAAGACCTGGGGCAGACTTTGGCCAGGCTGACCTCGGGACTCCAAAGAAACACAATGGCTAAGCGAGCAAAACTCTAAAAACTGGAGAATATGCTGGAGCCCACGCAACCAATGAGAGCGGGCTGCCCAAGCATCTATCTAAGTTGTCAATCCTAGTAAACGTGGTAGCACGTCACTACAATGATCACTTTATTAGATTTCAAGACTGACAATTTAGACGTGTGTTCTAATCTGTAAAACCTATTATGGTGGTTCGTTTCATGCTTCCATAAAATGGTGTTGGTATTTTGAAGATAAACGATTGCAAGGTTCAGTTTATTTGAGAAATACTTAAGCAACTTGGTTTTTCTTGCTATAATTAAAATTCAGTTATATCTCCATTTCATGTAGTTGGACAAGAACGAAAAAGAGCCTATTATAAGTTGTACTGTGACAATGCAATAGAAGAAAGTCTAGTATTTTGTCACCAAGTTAACACGACCTCCTACCATGATCATTCCAGAGCGCTGCACTTGTTGCAGTGGTTAATATACAACTTCCATTATTTCTGGGAGAATTAGTCGACAAGATGGTTCAAATCATAAAAGGTTAGTTGTTTTTAACCATTACATGCATTAAAGCCGTTTTCCGCTAGATAATTTCCAGATCAGTCAAAAGGTGTTGCCAGCAACTTGAACATAGTTAAACCGGAGGCAGTCAAACTTCTCTTGTGTTATACTACCCAGGCTTTACTTACCTTTTGCTACATAACTTTCCTAACAATTCTTGGTGAACGTATGGCTTCTGATTTACGCGTTAAATTGTTTAGTCAATTGGTATTGATGGACATGTCTTTTTACGACTCTCAGGTAAGCTGCAGATTTCGAGAACAGATTTCAAGTATTCGTGAACTTATCCCTATATGTATATATATATATATATATATATATATATTGATATTCAGAAAACGGCTGACTTGTCAAATAGACTGAATGTTGATGTAGAAGAATTCAAAAGCTGTTTCAAACTTGTTATTGCCCAAGGTCTAAAGACAGTGGCTCAGGTATCTCGTTATTTCGTACTAATTATCAACGATATTTAATATATGCCACAGTCATTAGCACGCGTTGAAGAGGTGCTTTCGGAATGTAATTAATTCAAGCGAAAAATCAAAATTTTTTGAAAGCATGATTAAAAATGCCTTCCAACGGATTACCGCCAGATCGTGGGTGGGGGATGTTCCTGGGTGTCGGGTTACGATGTACAGCGAGGGGATTCATCTCCCCAGCACGTTGTTCCAGGCTGAGAAGAAGTCCGGCATTTCCATCAGGAAGCCCAAGTCGTATGGTTGTGTTACTCCTTCTATGAATACTTCTACCTACACCTCGTTGTTGCTTTTTTCGGTCTATTGTTTGATTTTTGGGCGCGCGTAATGCAGTGGTTAGAGGTGCCTTGCAATACACACGTGATCGATCTTGCGCTTCAGGGTGGCCAAAATTTCGATCACTGCAGAGTCCGCAAATTGGTACCTGACTTGTTTGGGAGGATAACAACACTAGATCGTTACATCGAAAGGCTACCGCGAGGCACTGTGTGGACCAAATATTCATTCAATCAGCTCTAACTATGCTTGATGAAGTCGAATACATGGCGCATCATCTTTTTTGTGTGATTTTTATACGCATTTTGCTAGCAATTTCGGTGTTTCTTTTCTACGTATCCTCGAGGTGCAATGTGTTCTTCTGTACTTTTGCTGACACATTTCGAACTCTTCCGTGGTGAAAAGGTCATGCCAGCCCGATCCCCTCATGCCACGTTTGAGTGAAAATCCACGCAGTTTGAACTCTAGGTGTTAATATATGCAGAAAAAATGGCAACTTCATGGAACTAAGCCTTGTTCTCGCTGTACACGACATCCATCTGTCATTTAGGACGTTTCAAATTGAGCCACGCTGTTCAGAGCTGAAATTCGGAGTATCCTCTTATTCAGAAAAAGTTGTATAGGATACATCACATGTACAACAAACTTGGAAATGCTGCACGACCTGTTGCTTTTTGCACAGCAGAGGCATCCTGGTGCTTTCCTCGTTGGCATTATTCTTTGTAGTATGGTTTTTCTATGCACTACATAAGGAAATCATCATGAAACCCATGAAGACGAACGCACTTTTCCACACTTTTCCAAACACACTTCTTTCTTAAGTTACTTTGTATGGAGAAGTTGAGTTTAGTAGAAGAACACTTTTCTTTGGCTGCATCGAGTAGAAAGCCCTTGTCCTAGAGAAGTTGATGTTACTGCAAACAATACCACTCGGCAAAAGAAACATTTGGAAAGGAAATGCATTGAAACTAATGCCTACACAAAATGGAAAGAAGATGTATTAAACAGCGAAAAGGCTTACGCCCTAAGCTTTTTCTTATTATACTTTTATTTTTCTTACTCTTTGTTGTGGTATTATTGTAATGAAGGGCTTATGCTTCAGATAGTCCAACTTTTGTCATTTGTTTATAAGGAGTTTAAGTTTTAAACAACATTACATGTAGAAACCGAGAACCTGAATGGTAACCAAGGTTTACGTTGGAATATGGATTTTCAGAATTCCAGGTAACTGGCTGCTTTTTAATCATTATTCGTATTTCTCCCAAATTGACTCTCTATACTGTCGCAGTTATTCCACTGGTTATTGGTATCGGTACATTGTTTGGAGCACTATTACGAAATTTAAGCAGAAGGTTCAGTTCCTGTGTTTTTTGTCACAGTTCGAAATTATTTTCCTACCATCCGAACATGTACGATCTCCTTCGTTTCGTTGTTGCATTTCCTTTCTCTTAAACTTCTTATCCAGAGCGCAAGCACAATTTTCTGCGGCGTCTTGTGTCGCCGATGAAGCATTTGGAAATATTCGTACAGTTAGAGCATGTGCTATGGAACAACAAGAGTCGAGGTGATTCTACCTAGCTCCGTTTAGCTCCTCTACGTTAAGGGCTCATAAAAAGTTGTTGGCTAATTTCTTTGCAGATTATTCGAAAGAGAAGTGCGAAAGGCTTGTTCCATGCAGGAAATTTTAGGGATGGGAATAGGCTTGTTCCAAGGTAACTAAGGCGCCATTTTTTTGTAACATATGGTTCACACCTTGTTTGCTAATTTTTCGTTGCTGTAAAAGGAATGCTGTCACATTGCTCTGGTGAAAAATGTTTTTGTTGTCGTCAGTTGAGATTGAGTTCTTGTTCAAAATGCCATTGTTCAATCACTATAGTTATTCGTTCTAGCCGCTTCGAACTTTTTCTTAAATGGAATTGTTTTGTCAGTTCTCTATGGAGGATCTATTTTCATAAATTCAGGTCTGTCATCTCTTTTCGTAACGCCGCCTTCTGGTTTTCCTGCTGTTCTTTTGGTTCTTTTAGGCGAAATTACACCTGGCCAATTGATGTCATTTCTGGTAACAGCGCAGACCATCCAAAGATCAATGAGTCAATTTTCGATATTGTTTGGTACAGTAATAAAGGGTTGGACGGCTGGCGCTCGAGCGTTTCAGGTTGTGACTTTACCAACGTTTAATGTATCATATTTCTATCATTCGTAGGAGTATCCCGGATGTATTTTTTGCACGTTGGGCGGGCCATTTTGTTATTTTTAATAGAATCTTAATATCTTGTTTCTATTTTCTACTGTTTTTGCGTTATTTTAAAACTTTCTGGTCATTATTTTGTAAAATATACCGTTCATAAAATAACTTCCACAAGCATTTAGTTTGCGAATCTGCAGCCTACTATACGAAATGACGATGGTGTTTGTATTCCTTATAACACTCTTTTTGGTGAAGTTCGTTTTGAAGATGTCGAATTTGCATACCCTACGCGACCTGAACATCAAGTATTTGAGAGACTAAACCTTACCATTCCAGCAGGACAAGTTGTTGCATTATGTGGACCTAGCGGAGAAGGTGTGTAAGTTAGTTCATTATTTCTGAGAAGTGTTTTTGTAATAATAACTTACTAATGATGGATTTTCCATTGGTTGCTGCAACATTGCTTTAAGGGAAGAGTACAATCACTTCATTACTAGAGCGATTCTATGAACCGTTTTCCGGCCGAGTTCTTTTGGACGACCGTGACCTTAGGACACTCAATTTGGAATGGTTACGCGGTCAGGTGGGCTTAGAGTTTAAAAGAAGTAACGTATATATAATGCTGAGATATTTACAAAACTCCGGACCGCAGGTGTATGCGGTGGGGAACGAACACGCGTTTTTGTCCTTACCGGGGAGCAGTAAAAAGAAAAAGGCAGTAAATAAAAGGGTTACGATTGTGATTATAACTAAGCCTCAACTTAGCTGTGTTCAATGCCGATTTGGGCTCCCCAGATCAATCCTGTTGACGGGTGATTGCTGATGGCAAAAAGATCGTAGAACTGGTTGAGAGACAGGCAAAACGAAGGACCCGGATGGTGTGGTGGTGAAGTGCGATGCTCCCCGGTAAGGACAACAGCGCGGGTTCGTTCCCCACCGCATACACCTGCGGTCCGGAGTTTTGCAAATATCTCAGCATTATATACGAGTTATATTTCGCAACATACTCTGCCATTAAAAAGACAAATGCAGTAAATAAAAGGGTTACGAGAAGTAACATAGTTTGAGAATTAAATTCAATTAAGAATACGGCGCTTAATTAGAAAGCATTATTGTAAATAAGTGATGCTAGCAGCAGAGTTAGTTTCGCTGTCTTGTACACTACTTTAGCACTAGGTATAGCAGTTCTTCATAACATTGTGCAGTTTTCTGTGTGAGTGAATTTCCCAAATTACTTTACATGACTCAACATCACATGAACCACACTATGCGGATTCAAGCACTTGTATTCGATTGATTCCTCACATATGCTACCTTTGAGGATTTTCTGATTTGCGTATGAATTCGCCCACTGCCTGAGCATTCTTGGTTTTCTTTACGAATGCCTTTGAATGGTAGTCAACTCGGTTCTACCTGGAATTTCTGAATAGCTGGGGTAAGGTGTCCTCGTATCGTCATCCTAGCTTTTTGTGGATTATAGAAGATTAGCTTGTTCCAGGCTACCTCTAAAAACGCAAAAAATGGGTTGTATGGTCTTCAAGAATCAAAACTTAATTGCTGTCATATTTGATACCAAAAATTGTAACCTATTCAGCAACGTTAAATTTAGATAGTTCATTGTAAGCTGCTATATAATCGGTTATATTAGAAACATGCGGTGATTTTCAGGCACGTTTGATTCAAATCTGACTTATGTCGTTTCCAACGTGTAAAACGTAATGAAACCGAAGTTTTTTTTTTCCATTTCTCAAATACGTGAGACTTCCTGCTTTTATGTTTATTGCTTCAGTTAGAAAGAATGAAAGTAAGTGGTCGGTGCTTTAAGAGTTGAGGGTTAGAAAAAGAGTGGAATCACAAGAGGAAAAAAATGTGAGGGAAATGACGAAATCAGAGGGAAAACAAGGGAGTATGAGGACTAGTATTAATTAAGAGAGGATGAGAAAAAGAAAACCAGGGTGGTTTTTTCACGCAAAAACTAGTAGACGATTTTGAATAAAATTAAAAAGGAAATAAGTGGGACTAGGTTCTTTAAAGTGAAGGAAGTAAGGTGTTTGGATAATCCTATTATACGGTGTTTATATAGGTTATTGGACTTATTTCTCAAGAGCCTGTTCTGTTCGCCACCACTATTGAAGAGAATATTCGGTACGGTAGGCCGGGTGCTACACACAGTGAAGTAAGTTGTAATTTCTTAGAATTCTCTTTTCACTCCTGTATTAAACATCTCCTTTTCAAATGCGTAACTTCACTTTACTCTTCACATATAATTCTGCGTTCTTTATACTCGGTTCTATTTAGATTCAATTGGATTTATAAACCATCACTATATAGAATATGTATACTTATACAATTAGTCCTTAAGGTGATGCAAGCAGCTGAGCTTGCTAATGCTCACGAGTTTATCACCGCATTTCCTGACGGGTATAACACCGTTGTTGGGGAACGTGGGGTCCAACTTTCTGGTGGTCAGAAGCAGGTATCACATTGCTGATCATTTATTCTAAAGTTTTTACACATAGATATAGAAGTTGGTTAACAGCAGTTTGGAATTTTAAGCGGATAGCGATTGCACGAGCCCTACTAAAAGATCCCCCTATTCTGGTTCTTGACGAAGCAACGAGCGCTCTGGATTCAGAGAGTGAAAACTTGGTGTGTTTGATGCTTGTATTTTTGCTCTACAGAAACCTGCTTGTACTGATTCTTTGATGCATAGTTAACGATGCTGGTTTTTTATAACTTCCAACAATTTCTCTAACAAACGTAGTTTTTAAGAACCTGGAAGCTTGATTTGGTTGGTTGTTCAACGTGCCTTCCACTGGTTTGCCATTTCATCTTGGCTGGGAACTGTTCCTGGGTGTCGTTACAGTGGGATTTATCCCCTATGCAGCGTCTTAAAAGCTGAGAAGGAGTTTTGTGTTTCCATCAGGAAGCGCAGTTAAGAGTAAACCAATACTACGATCCACCACCGTCCTGATATCAAATGAGTTGCATAGTGGCAAATATCCCTCTGATCCACAAGGGTTGCGACTGTCTGTGGTGGTGACGACCTTGTGCAGACTTTTCCCAGGGTGAGATTGGGATTCCAGGGAACCGCAATGGCTAAACCAGAAAATCTCCGGAAAAGTGGAGATTATGCTGGGGCCCGCACAACCAGTGAGGACGGGCCATCCAAGTATCCAAGTAAGTAAGTTCAACGTGTGACTTTCCGCGGAAAAGAATCATTATTGGAATACAAAAACAGGATAATAGAACAAATACAATTTGTTATTGAAATTTATTTAAGTTTAAAGTCCAATACATGCCGATATATGGTTGTCTTAGGCTTAGGACGGATTTCCGTCAATTTCAAGCCATGAGTGGTAGCACTCGTAATTAGTAAGTAGTTTAGTAAATTAGTAAGTAAAGAAGTAATTACACTTTTCAACTTGCTTGTCAACAACAAATCTCAACTTATAATGTACTTCATTTAATGAAATAAAGACTATAGGAACTTATAGACCTTTGTGAGCGGGGTACAAGTTATATCATTAGCGAAATCAAAATTCCTGGAGACGAGAAATCCTTTCTTCGTTTTATTTTTTTCTGGTCGAGGTTCATATTTCGAACAGTGAAGTTGTGACAGATTTTGTCAAATATTTGAGTTACTTTTGATTCTGTATGATCCGTCTCCACGTCTACTATGCGGATCGCAGCACTTCTCACATTCGATTCGTTTCCTCGCATCCACTGTCCACGAAGCTCTTCCAACTTTTTGCATCTGGCTTCGGTTGGTGCTTGAGGATTTTCATTTCATCTTATTTTCCTTGGAGTCCTGAGATAGCCGAGATGGAATGTTCCCAGTTGGATTGCAGAGAGTGGTGTTTTCCTATACAAGTCCGTTACCAATTTCCCGACTCGGGAGGGATGAAAGGTTTGGTTGGCCCGGAGCGAAATCGAATTATCACCATGCTCGTGATGACGGCCACCACTACCACTGTGCTATCCGCCCCTAGTCTTTAAGTTATTTGCTCCAATTATTGAGAAGTTATCGAGGTTTATGTAGAAACTTGCCAAGTTGCCATTTTGTTTGAAATTTCCCGAAACATCACTCATAAAGTACAGTTCATTTTAAACATAACTGTGTGTTCGGTATCATTGTACCGAGCACATCATATGCTGTCCTATACATATACACAATGCGTAAGCCATGGTGAAAATTGAGCGCTGTAGAACTGCCGGGAAGGTTTGTACGAATGACATTCTATTTTCTTCACTTTATAGGTACGTGAAGCTTTAGATCGAGCTATGAGAGGCAGAACTGTTATTATAATTGCTCATCGATTAAGTACTATACGAAATGCTGATCTTATTTGTGTTGTTAAAAACAAAAAGGTTAGTTCAGTGACTCTTTTCTTCCTAACTTTCCCGCATTAGAGTTGAATGCCATATCATTAACACTGTTGTTCTGTAATACATTCATAAATGTATGTGCATTATTAGCAACTGATTCCAGATATGCGAGCAAGGTTCGCACGATGATTTAATAAAAAGAAAAGGTGTATACTATAATCTGATAAAATCGCAATCCAATGCCACTTTGTAGTAGGACCAGGTGTGAATTGGTTTAGGAATGTTTCTTACTTGATTTTTTTGCTGAAAATTTCGTTGTCAGTTAGGTTACAGCTTAGTTTTATGCCGTCTGTTGTTCAAAATCATTGACCTTTCTCAACTGATGTGTTTATGGCGTTCTTGGTATTTTTAGTTAAATACTGTTGTCAATGTTTTGAAGCAATTTATAGAATAAAATGTGACTGTTTACAAAATCATCTCTAAAGCGATTTTGGAGTACAAGTTGCAATGAAAATTATGTTGAATACCCGGATTCCACAACAACTAAACGTTGTTCACGAGGAATGCTTGTGACAGGCTGTATCTCCTCTTCAGTGGTCGGTATCTCTTTCAAAAATTCATCAATCCCGTAGGCGCTCTGTGATGAGAAGGGTAGCTCATTACCATTCGTATTGGCGCCGGCTTGTCTCCTACTTCGGTAGCCTGAATGAAAACTGTTTCTATCCAGAAACTATCTAAAGTTCGAATATGAGTTGTCGATTGTGTGAAATCAATTCGAAGGAATTAGTAGTCGTGTTGAAAATTTTCTTATTAAGAAGAAATGATCTATAGTAGCTCTGAGGGTAGTAGTAGCCGAAAGGTAGTAGTAGTTAAGTCCGTGAAGGAAATGTTTTGATTTGTTGTGAAATGTTGCTACACTAAAGGAGTGGGAGAATCACCTAGGCAGAAGATACATGATTTCGTCATAAGTCATCATACCAAATTTCGGATCAGGTACAGGTCATTTCGCCGTAAATTATTCTGTAGATGAATTAAAGAATTAAAGGTCGCTATGATTAGGTCACATTTGTCGTTAAATCTCATAGTGCACCGGCTACCTGACCTGATTCAACGACTACCGGTGGATTGATAGGTACACTGTTTTTGATTGGTTGCGCTTCCTCTTCTGGCACTGGTACAAAAGTAGTTATTTCAACTACTTCATACACAGCTTGAGTAGGCAGCGATGGTTCATCACCGTAAGAATTGTCTCCGGCTTGTCGTTTCCCCACTAGAAGTGGACATTGGTAATTTTCTGTGTAACTATAAAACTAAGGTAAAGTTCTTGATAAATATTAGATCGATAACTCACATGACATTGCATTAGTAGCACCTAAACAAAGCAGAAGTGAAAGTGTAAGGCTAGAGGCGTTCATGCTGCACTAAGATGTCATAGTGGTTTGTTGTTGTCCTTTTATACTCTTGTGTCGAATCTACGCGAGAACCTGATCACTAAACTGGGAGGAGGAGGGAATTGCGTTCTAGAAAAAAAGCGAAACACGCGACTTTCAACGTGTAGTCTTTCTAACAGCTATCATCTTAAGCATTGTTTCTGAAATAGATGTCTACTTACAGAAACCAATAATAGGAACAATCAATAAGCAGTGTTGCGGTGTAAGATACGGGAATCTGAACCAGTTTTTTGTAAGTGGTGGTTCCAAACGTATACAAATGTATTTAGCATATTCCATCATTAACCAGATTAGATGGAAGGGTACGTCATTGGCGAGTCGTTCAAAGTTCCATCTGGGTGTTTTTTGAAAACCACTTGGAATTCGAGAAGCGGGTATTTGTTCTGAAACTATGCGTTTTGAAAGTCCCGAACTTTGAATTAGTTTTTATATATTTGTCTAGTTCTAGAATGCCTTTTGTTACTAGTAAAATCTCGTAAATTTTATGTTTTTTTATCGCATATGTTGGTGAAGGATCAAATCGAGACAAATTCCTTATCGATTCCATTCTGCTTCATATTTCACTAATTGTATCGTTTCCTTGTCGATGTCGCTGTCTTACAGCAAGGTCAAACCACAGCGCAGCTAATGAACTTACTGTTTCAGTTCTCGTTGGTATGTATGTTATCTGTCTCAATACAGAACTAACGTCGAATAGGTCGCCGTTGGTTACACTCGCAATAGCACAATATTCTTTATTGCTTATATGGTTGCAGTATGTGTAGCGCAGTGGTTAGAGGCGCCCTGCAATACACGTGGGATTGATGCCGCCCCACACTAATCGAGCCTTCTATCTCTCCGGAGTCGGCAAATCGATGCCAGACTTCACTGGGAGGATAGTAGCACTGGTTATATATATCGGTAGGCTACTGCGAGTTATTGTACAGGCCACATATGCATTCAGTAACCTGTAACGATGCTTGTGAAGTTGAGTGCATGGCGCATCCCTCAGGGATTGATCAACGCCGAGAGCTTTATGGTTTTTTTTAAATGTGGGTTCTGAAGAATAGTTCTGAATGACCTCCACTCAACACAACACATCGTGACTAACCATGGCAGTCCACTACTAAGCGACAGGATACGGTGGTTTTTAGGCTTGTTTTATAGTAGGAAGCTCAAAAATTGGAGGTGATCTGGTTTATTAACACTTTCGCTACTGTATGAGTTGCTATCAATGCATTAGTGGAAGCAGAAAGGTGTGAAAATGGAAAGGTATAATCGACGCTGTATCATTAAGAGCTTCCCATTTATGTTTTTTTTTCCTTTCACACTAACAAAGTTATCGAATACATCAAATTCAATCAGTTTGTTTTGGAAATCCTAAATTCTGTTCGTACCTGGTAGGAATCATAAGGTAAAGTATTCTATTATTGGACAAATTCTGTGGTAGTAGTGGAATTCCTATCAAGAACATGATGAGACGTTGATCACCGCACTATCAGCTCATAAAAGATCGTGAGTATCATGCATCGTTTCCCACAAGTACAAACCACTTGAATGACATTTCTAGAGAAAAAACAGGTGTCTAGAAAAACTTTAACAAGCTATAGCACTTCGCGTACAGCGCCCGCTTTCAGAAACCGGTAACGCGCTAGATTTTTACTAGAATGATTATCGCTTACTATCGGAATAAAGTGACGTCTGCAAAAGGAAAAAAAAAGCCTCCTTGAAAGGTTTAGTAGTCACGCAATACACCAGCAGTAACATAACGCACTAATCTAAGATTTTCTCTTGTCAAGAAATATTATGTTTAAAAAACTAACTAAAATTAAAAAGACTTGAGACACTATTTCCGTTTGCATAGATTGTTCAGAGTACACGAGATTTTCAAACAACTTTTATCTGGCTGACGTTTCGGCGTCTTCCTCATGGCCGACGATCCGAGTCGATGCCCCGCAGTCGTTCGTAGTTCCAATGTGATACCCTCGTCATCGTATCAAGTCGAATGTTCTTCATTTAGTTACTGTTTTAACTTTTAACTTAACTTCCTCTAACTTTGACTTTCAATCTTTTTTAGTTAGTTACTGTTTTCGTATCAATATTTATCACTGCATATATAGCGGGCAATGATCGTTTGTGAGCTTCAAATGTTATCGCAAAATCAACGACACAGTTCCTCCACGTATTTAACGGATCTCGTGAGGCTGATCCTAGTCAGAAAAGTAGCAATCGAACGAAAATTGATCTGACAAGCATAGAATTTCTGCAGGTGGGGATTTTGTTTTGGTCGCAGCGCGGTTTTGGAAAATTTGTCTGCATTCTGGATTGTCTCTGGATTTCCATTAAAGGCATGCTCCTATAAGGTGAACCAAATTGAAATTACTCCATGCAAAACAACCTGGAAAATATGCTCGAGGAGTTGAGATTTATTTACGAGCATGACTTAGAAGTGGGACTGCGAGTAGCATGACAAAATTCGAGCATTAGGTTTCTCGAACGCAATGAACTTCTCGAAACAGCTTTCAATGAAGATGAAATAATTACTTTCTTATTATGTGCATATCTTGTTCGGTATTTCGGTAGCTCTTCATTACGTAACGTTAATGTTCTTCAATTTCGAATTATTAGTTTCGATGTCTTATTACTGTCACCTAGAAGAGTGGTTGGTTCATGGAGGGATTTGTCTGCGGTTTCCGATTTTCTGGACTGTCTCCACTTTTCGCCACAAAGAACCATCTATTAGGGCAACGTTTGCTGCTTTAGGATTATGATACTTCGAAAACGGCAGCATTTCCGCGATCAGTCGTACAACCAATTGAGGACGATGCAAAAGGGTTTTCTCAGGTACTTATGTAAGAGAAAGCACTTGAAAGGATAGTGTTGTGGAAGTGATTTAATGTTTGTTACTCCTTGCGGCTATAGTTTTGGACGAGTACCAGATTTTACGTCGTGCGATAGTTCGCTAAAATTGAATAAAATTTCGGTCATTCCATGGGGAAGAAAAGTGGAATGTAAACCTATCCCTGGTCGTGTGAGTGTTGTTTCTTAGCTATCCATGCATTGCTTAGAATACGAATACGAAAAGGTATTCAGAATCAGCAGTAACTCAGTAAATTTGTCTAAGCTGCAGCACACTATGCTTACGCTCATTTTGAGTGTGTCTAACCATTGATGGGACACTGTGGCGCAGTGCTTAGAGCTGTCCTGTGGTCTTTAGTTCGACGCCCTGGACTCACCAAGCCTTCATTTCTCCGGAGTTGACAAAGTAACACCAGACTGATCTGGAACGATAGCAGCACAGATTTGATACATTGCTAGGGCACCACAAGTTATTCTATAAGCCAGATATGTATTTGATCACTTCTAACGTTTTCTGAGAAAGACCAATGCATGGCGCATTTTTCAGGGATTGATCAACGCCGACAGCTCTGGTCTTTGAAACACTTCGACTATTTTTCTCTCTAATGATTTACGTATGAAACTTTTATGCTCAAAAGGTGATGATAAGGAATAAAGACATATAGTAGCTAGACAGTTAAATTTCGAACAATCACTGTCATTCTGAAGAACTCATTGAAAACATGACAACATTTCCTTATCTGAGTTCCCTTTCATTTTTGGCGTTTCTCGACTTTCTTTTATCATTTGTATGTGTACATTTAATGTTATGTAACACAAACCAAGGATTTAGCAACGCTCTTAGAAACTGGATCCTATGCATAATGTACGACAACGTACATGAACAGCACTTTAGAGGTCAATGAATCTCTGTCATTTCACAAACCAGTAAAAGCGCAACAAAAAGACGCCCAGCTGAAATCACTTCCATTGTCATTGACACGAGCTATTTTGAAATTTGAATAAGAAAAAGATTTAATGGCGCTAAGGGTAACGCCGTCGTTCACGCTCTGTGACGCCAAAATCTACACAAACATAAAAGTTTGCGCTCACATTTTGTCCTCGTCAAATGATTCTGATCAGCCGGAATACATTTTAATTTTGAACGAGTGAAAATGTTTCTGTGTGTGTCGGTATATGTCTGCGGGACGGGGATGGCCCAACGATTAATGTGATGCGTCGATCAGGAGGCAAAGGCTCTAGTACGATCCCCAGCCAACGCTCTCCCTCCAATCCACATGGGAACGCCTTTGCTCGGTTATCTTCAACATTGCAAGGAGACACTCATAGAGAAGACTAGATCTTCAATCAGCAGCTGAAACAACATGAGAAATATTCGGAGAGAGTGGATATGAGGCAAACAAATCGAATTCGAGAAGTGCAGGGATCTCCAGAGTTGATGTGATGACGGTTAATGGATGGTAAAAAATAAATGTGTATATTCACATGTATATATATTATATATATAGGAAATATATGTATATTCACATGTTTTAACTTATTATCTACTGCCTACTCTTTTTAATGGTAGAGCATATCCGTTTCCCACCACAGACACATGCTGTCCGGACTTTTGCGAATATCTCAGCATCATTGAAGTTATATTCACATATTTATACATATATATGTAGTGCAGTGTGTAATGCGTGAGCCCATAGAAAGGGTAATCGTAGTTCGACCTGACTCGGAGCCCATGTTTTGCGAATATCTCAGCGCGCCGTTGTAGTTATACATATTCATATATACTACTTCATACTTATTTGATACTTGAACGGCCCGTCCTCAGTAGTTGTACGGGTCCCAGCATAATCACCGTTTCTTGGAGATTTGCTGGTTAAACCATTGTGATTCCCTGGAGTCCCGAGGACAGCCTGGCAAAAGTCTGCCCACGTCTTCAACACGACAGGCAGTGGCAGCCCTTGTGGATCAGGAGATTTGTCACCATGCAACCTTGATACGGGGAGGCGGTAAACCGTTAGGAGATTCATATATATATATATATATATATATATATATATATATATATATTTGTATGTATCCGTCCTAATGAAGTGGAATGCATGGCGCATCCCTCAAGGATTGATCAA